CAGACTGTTTAATCAAGAAATAAGTGCTCTAAAAACGTCACAAATCAGGGACAAATTTTGTTTGCAAGTTTTTCTTGGATAATTGTGTCTTATGTCTTTCAACACGTGCACAGGTTAACTCATTTTACGCTTCGATCTCAATCACCAAAAAAGATTTATATGAATTTGATTTATTTTTCACAAGTTTAACTGCGGGAAAAGGTCGAAGATTGGGGTTAAATTTTTCCTGGAAATGAAAGTAAAGATAAGTAGTCTAGTTTACATAACTGTTCATTAACAATTCAAATTCAAATGATAGGTGAAAAGGAAACAAAAAATAGGGTATCCTTTTCAAGTTTGTCTCCTAAAATAATCAAAAATGCATATTTATTTCTGAATAAAATTCAGAATACAATAGTTCAGAAATTTCGTAAAACATTAGTAAAATGGCATCTGAGTCTGTTCTTTAAAATGTTCAGACTTCTGCCTCCGCAACGTCTTAAGGTAGATTATTCCATTCGTTGACCAATTTACAAAGAAAGAATACTTAAAAGTGTTTAGCTTTGTAAGCAATGGTTTAACTTTATGGCGATGGTTGGCTCTTAACGGCCGAAAGTCATGTGCAAAAATTAACACACCCAAATGGACATGGCCCGTTAAGACTGACCAGTTCAGTCTGATTCATTCGTGCGTAGAAACCTGACAGTCGATTTTGTTTCTTCGAGAAAATTAGCCAAACAGAGCGCACAAATGTCGCGTATATATTGTCCAATACTAGACATCTCAAGCCGAGATTTCTTTTAAAGGCGGACAGCAACCAGAACAAGAATAAACTAATTGTGGCGCACTTTGAAGCCAATTTATCGAGGTCACATTTTAACATTTTAAACCAACGTGTCCCCCTTAATTGCTTTCAGTACCAGAACCTTCTGCAGATTTCGATAAAATCAGGTCCTTTACGATCTCGGCATTATCAAAACAATACAATAGCTTCATACATGCATTGATTATATATCCTGGCCGAGGTTCCTCCACTCCACTGTAATTTCTCTTGTAAATACCTCCAACATGTGGATCGTGCAACAAATCTAAGTTTCCGACTTTGAAACCGAAATCTATTGTATCTTCGTCCATAAATGTTTGGATAATGCCAAGCTTTACATTTGTCACTTTGGCTTGTTTCAATTTAGGAATGTATTTCGACACACCGGCTAATATTTTTTTACCCTTGGCGCATTTCTCGTCCTCTGAGAGATTGAAGAATATATGCTCGAATTCTGGTTCCAGTTCTTCAGAGGTACTCACGGCCATGTTTGTCTCTGGTGCATAAGTCAACATTCCAACTCTGTTTCCTTTGTTAGAAAACATGCCGAAGGGTCCCATACAGAAGAACATTGAAGGCATGTGGACGAGAGCTTCGGGCAGCTGCACCGTGATAACTGCTTTGATTCTGTTGCATCTTTTCCTTGTGAAAGCGGAAATACTAAGCATCTTGTTGAATTTGCCAATGTTGTACCACGAGGCGTTCACAGTTACCTCGGCGAAAATCTCTACGTTGCCACCAGCTGACAAATCTACGGCTTTTGTTAAATATGCGCCACGATCCTCGAGCGCTGAAATCTCAGTGACTTCAGTGTTTGTTCTAATTTCAACCATTTTC